TATACATGGTGTCCCGTAATGTAACGTCAAGCCGGAACTGGGTGTTGAGGCAAGTTGTGCTGGTTATCAGAAAAATATAAAAAAAAATCTATGTGGCATATTTTAAAAATAATAGGCATTTAAAAAAAATGAAAAAATTCTACTCCGGGTGACGGTCCTTTTGCTCGTGTTGCCACAAATCTTCAGTTTTTCCAAATTTTTTTTTGTTATGTAACCCTGAATAATGCTTCTCTAAATTGTTATCAAAATTACAAAACCAGCTGCTCCAGCTTGNGCCAAACATTAGTAATCCCATTTATTGTCCCGAAGCAGTGGTAGGGTTAATATTGGGATTTGTAAAAGTGCAAAAATAAAATGAGTTTTATGAGTTTTAACCAACTTCATTTATAAATACCTACCTTACGAAATAAAGTCCCATGCTTCAGAGGTTACGTCAAGTCGTTCGATAAACGATTTCGATACGTCAAACATTACTTTAGAACAGTGACACGTTGATAGAAAAGGTTCTATCCCTGGGTTGGCAACAGAGGGAAATCTAGAATTCTGTTTGTAATTTTTGACACTGGTTCCAAGACAGTTTGTTATCTCCCCGGGACTATGCAACCTTTGCTACTGTGGATTCTGGCTATACATACATACCTACAGAAGGTGCAGCGGTGGAATCAAGAGCACTATACTTAGTGGAATAATAATAATGACAAAATATGTTTTCATGATGCAATAAATATAAGTCTAGATCAGAGATAGTAGCTAGTAAGTATGATTATATTGTTTAATGGCATAGCCAGCAGGTTTTTTTTCCACAACGAGGAAGCTCTTGGCCTGTATCTCACCTGATGGTAAGTGATAAAGTGATGATCAGGCCGAAGGTGGAAGCGAGCTTCACCCGGAATCCTCAACCACGGAGGAACTGGCTATCTTACCTCTACCACCAACCAGGCTGGCGCAGGCATTTCGAGGGATTTCTACCCTTAAACATCATGCAAATTTAATGCACAAAAAATGCGTCTGATTTTTTATTAAACTTGCAGGGAATTCTATGATAAGTCTGACCCCTAATGGCTAAAGCCAAAGGCTGATTTACACGTACCTAATAAGTAAGTAGATAAGTAGGTAACTTTTTAAGTTGATAATTCTGTCAAGTTGGTGGGTGGGGCTTGTCACTTGACACGTTTTGACAAGCAGTTTCATAGTACCTAAACAAGAGCTTGACGTTTGGAATTAAGTTAAAATTTAGTTACGATGCAATTTAAAATTAAGTTAACCTTTAACTACTGACGTGGGGGCCTCTCAGGCCTTGCAAAAGTCAAATTGTTGAATTTCTCCTTTCCCACGTGCACGACGCACCCGAATCTTTTAGTACCTTCGAGTTTCATTGCGTCGAGGCTGTCAACAACGGTGCACGTGATGGCATGCGCAATTTCAGTAGGTAAATTAATTTTAAAGTTTCTTGTGGGCCTCTCAGGCCCCCACCTCAGTATTGGCGTAACTTTTTTTGTCTATAGTTTTTATTTAGTTGTCGTCTTTTCTTGAAATAATTTGAAAAAATCTATAATATGGAGCCCTCAATACGTCGTTCAAGAGAAAGCGGTATCTCGGAAGTAAAAATAACCAGCATTTAACGAAAAATAGAAGAACAGTAGTTTTTGGCACGTATGCTAGGAAATGATAAGCCTGTACCTGTCTATCAAGATTTAAACGATGGAACCATGTGTCATCCATGTATTTTGAAGATTCAAATGAAATCTACATTTACTAAGCAAAGCAAGTTTATCCAGACAAGTTTATTCGCACTATTTTGATGAGTGTAATTTTTTTCCCCCTATTTCATATTAGGATTACTGATTTATCATTAGCTAAAAAGATTATTGAAAATTAAGATTCTAAGTTGATTTGTTGAATTTATGAATATTTTTCAAGATAACATTGTGAATCATGATTTCATGAGATTTTTGCCAAAAATGCTACATGTTTTCTAAATATTGAAATAATACGTATTTATTTACAAATAATTTACATAAAAATCGTTTTATTGTATTTAAATATAACCACTATTAATAATTATTAAACATAAAACCCTAAAACGATTATATATTTTTAAATATAAGCACACATAATGGCCTCTCAGGCCCCCAGGTCAGTGTTTACGTGAAATTAAATCCACCTCAGTAGCTAAAGGTAATACCTACTTAACTAATTAATGCGTGTAAATCCGCTAGTGTCCGACCGAATGTTCGGTTTCGGTTTCGTTTTCGGTTAAGTTTCGGTAAAAACACGAGTTTCGGTTTAGTTTCGTTTTCGGCGGCAAACTTGCCGAAACTACGACCGAAACCGAATGTGCATTCGGGAGTTTCCGCGCTGTTATCGGTCATGTTCAGCGCGTTGAATGAGTGAATGAATCCGATCAGATCCAATGTCATGATTCGCTCGCTTGTTTGTTTGCTGTTACTTTTTTTTGTTTTGTTGTGGTGGCGAGTTTTCTCGAGTGATTTATTTTGAATTTGGTAAGTTTTATCTCGTTTTATGTCGTTATAACATAAGAGCGGATAGTAAACATAAAAAAATAATCGATATGACTGATAAAAGTATAATCAAGTTTAATCTAACCTATTATTTTTTTTGGTTCGCAAAAGCTATACGTAAACAAATATTAGTTAGGTAGTTAGTAATGACTATAGTGCATTTCATGGTGATAATATTATGGATTCAGAGTTTCAAAGTTCATTTTAGTATTTATCACCAAGGTATCCAAGTGGCAAGTAGGTACAGTAGATACTAACTTAGGTAGGTACTACTAATTCTGTTTTGAGAAATTATTAAGGTAAAAGACCCCACCATGGGACAGGTTATGTAGATGTCCTGAATATTGCGAGTAATTGAAAAAAATCTAGACTATAAATCCTTCTTTTTCTTTTTTAATACATAATTTGATACCTTTTACAGTGAAAAGGCGCTTTATAAGTTCAATTTTAATGCAATTTAAAGAGAAAGCAATAAAGACTGACAGATTATAATACCTAACGTTTTCTTTATTTTTCCCTCAAAATATGAACCTTTTAAGGAAGTTTCGGTTTCGGTTTCGGCCGAAATAGACACCGTTGCCGAAATTCGTTTTCGGTTTCGGTTTCGGTCGTAAAACTAGTTTCGGTCGGACACTAAAATCCGCCTAAAGAGAAAATGAAGAAAATATCTGGTTCAAACGATCAGACCACTAACTTCACCTATTACACCTACCTCGGGGCTTACGTATGTAAAAGACAATGCCGGAAATTGGCGTCTTTTTTTTTTCGCGCGGCCATCGACTAAACCTTGTTTTTTGATTACAAAATAGTGTAATAAACCAAACTTACTATGACATGTATACCTCTAAACTCAGTCTGAACTGAGTTACGAGCATCAGAAGTTTGATGATTTTCATACTAGATTTGCTGTTTGCGCGCAAGTTTTGTAAGAAATTGCAACAAAATAATGACATTGTATGTGTAAACAAACAATACCATCCATTAAAGGCTCCAGACATCAGTATGCAGCAGAATCAGAGCAAATAAAAAAATAACGCAATATTTTGTTACAATTTCTTGGAAAACTTGCGCGCAAAAAGCAAATCTAGTATGAAAATCATTAAACTTCTAATGCTCGTAACTCAGTTCAGACTGAGTTTAGAGGTATACATGCCATAGTAAGTTTGGTTCATTACACTGTTTTGTAATCAAAAAACAAAGTTTGGTATAACATCCCTGCTTGGTAAGATGGCCCTCTCCGTCCCGCTCATACCTTTTAAAATGGCTTCTCCACCTCACTTAAGCCAGAAACTTACATTTTGGGCACATTAGAATAGTATTTTTAACCAAGGTAGATAAAGTTAAAGACGGGATTATTTCCAATAAACAAAAATTGTCGACAATTACAGCAAGATTTTACAAAGTGTTATACCATTTTGGAATCCTTACTAAATGCGCCAAATTATGACGTCACTTGCCACACTCGCGTGGTACAATTTTTTTTCAGTACAGTCAGTTTAAACTAGGCAAAATTTTTATTTTGATATTTTTTTTTGGGAATAATGTATTTTTTTCATCCAAGTTGGAGCAGCTGGTTTTGTAATTTTGATAACAATTTAGAGAAGCATTATTCAGGGTTACATAACAAAAAAAAAATTTGGAAAAAGTGAATATTTGTGGCAACACGAGTAAAAGGACCGTCACCTGGAGTAGAATTTTTTGATTTTTTTTAAATGCCTATTATTTTTAAAATATGCCAGATAATTTTTTTTTATATTTTTCTGATAACCAGCACAACTTGCCTCAACACCCAGTTCCGGCTTGACGTTACATTACGGGACACCCCGTATATAAAAGAAAGTCGTGTTAGTTACTTCGCTTATAACTCAAGAACGGCTGAACTGATTTAGCTGAAAATTGTCAGGGAGGTAGTTTAGAGCCAGGAGAAGGACATAGGATACTTTTTATCCCGTTCGAAACAAAAAAAAAGTCTGCTTATTTATTGCCATTAAGGCGGAACAAAGTTCGCCGGGTCAGCTAGTGTATTATAAAATTTCTTACCTTATTAGGTAAGATCATCAAAAATCATTACATGAAAATATTAAAGGTAACTTTAGATGAAGAAATTGCTTGCTTCTGAAATATATTGTGGTAACGACGGACAACTACCCAACCCTACACTGCGCGTGCCACGACACGCACTTGACCAATTTTTATTAGCTTATTTTGTACACTTGCATCCACGGAGCAAGATATGAAGGTGAATTAAGTACAATACCGCGACTGTTAACAGATTAAAATGTGATTGCTTCAATAAATATAAAATTTAAACCGTGTTTGTTACGCATTCGACACGTTTTGTTACAATTATGCCTGCCTCTCTAACATAAATGTAAATAATTAATCATAAATCATGCAAGGATTTAATCCAAGTAAGTAGTTTGGTGTGAATAAATATAAATGGTTGAGGTATTTGGGGCCTGTGTTTAGTGGTTGGGAAGAGATGAAGTTCCTTGTGTGTTTCGTTTTGGGCTTGGCCCTTCCATTGGCCCTTGGAAGCCAAAGTGCTGAAGGTAATGATATTTAAAAGAGATTCTGTGTGAGATTCCGAAGTCAGATTATCATCTGCCAAAGATCAATAATCACTACACTATAGCGTAGGTACCTTTTTAGATGATAATCTATAAATGTTTTTAGGCTTTAGAATAAGTTAGCAGCAACATCCAAAAGTCTTCCATGTCAATACTTTTGTTCAAGAAATAATAAATTCTTAATTTTGAATATGACTAAGACTATCAGTAAAATATACATTCTTTTTATGATGCAGATGGAAACGCAGAGGGTGCTGAGGGTAGATGTAAGTACAAAACATTCAGTACCTAAAGTTTGCAGTTTTATCAAATTTTATTTTATTAAACCACAAATAAAAATATTGTACGTTGTCGATAATGGGACGGGTAAAAATAAATCTTAAAGGGGTAAAATGTGGATGATTTTTTAAGGAATCCTTTACGTACTAAGCCTTCAGTTGGACCTTCACCTGTTGTCAATCGGAACATGTCTTTATTTCCCATAAAGTTATTTTCACTGCGTAACTTTTTACAAATGCTGTAGTACCTACTGGTAGGTATTCAGTTTAAGCAATATCATATTTTAAATACCTGATAAACTAGTATGACGGGTTGCTAATTGTTGATTCCTTTCTTAGAGAAGAACCCACATATACTTGTTAACCACAACTAAAATATAAAATAAAACATTAATTTATTTTTTCTTTCAAGCTTTCTTTCCATCGCCATCGGTGTTCCCAGTACCTAATGTCGTCCGTAAGTTACATTTCCTTAATTTAAGTGAATTTAAAGTTAATCATATCACTTTCACATATTAATACACTAGCTTTCCGCCCGCGGCTTCGCCCGCGTGGAATTTTGTCTGTCACAGAAAAACTTTATCGCGCGCGTCCCTGTTTCAAAAACCGGGATAAAAACTATCCTATGTTCTTTCTCGGGACTCAAACTATCTCTATGCCAAATTTCATCAAAATCGGTTGCGAGGTTTAAGCGGGAAAGCGTAACAGACAGACAGACAGACAGACAGACAGACAGACAGACAGAGTTACTTTCGCATTTATAATATTAGTTGGGATAATAATCTCTCAAAAGCTTTATGTTTTTCAATCTTTGTTAAATTATTTTTTAATAAAAATAATTTTTAGCGTACCCACCACCATCACCGGACGTATTCCCGGTACCTGATGTAAATGTCATACGTAAGTCCTACTACAATTATTTTGTTTAAATATTAAAGAAAACTCCCTTAGAAGCTTTATGTTTTTCAATCTTGGTTATATGTTATTAACCGCTTGAGTCCCAGACGGCATTCATTAATGCCATAACAATTGATTATCTATTGTGTCTAGATTCGCGGGCCTTGAAGGATTAAATATCAAATGAAAAATATTTTTTTCAGCGTTCCCACCACGACCGGATGTATTCCCGGTACCTGATGTGAATGTCATACGTAAGTCCTACTACAATTATTTTAATTAAATATGAAAGAAAGCTCACTGGAAAGTTTTTCTTTTTTAACAGTCCTGTTAAAGCTATTTTTTTTTTCAGCGTTCCCACCACGACCGGATGTATTCCCGGTACCTGATGTGAATGTCATACGTAAGTCCTACTACAATTATTTTGATTAAATATGAAAGAACTTTCTCTTCTTTAACAGTCCTGTTAAAGGTATATTTTTTTTCAGCGTTCCCACCACGACCAGATGTATTCCCGGTACCTGATGTGAATGTCATACGTAAGTCCTACTACAATTATTTTGATTATGAAAGAAAGCTCATTGGAAAGTTTCTCTTCTTTAAAGCTATATTTTTTCAGCGTTCCCACCACGACCGGATGTATTCCCGGTACCCGATGTGAATGTCATACGTAAGTCCTACTACAATTATTTTGATTAAATATGAAAAAAGCTCACTGGAAAGTTTTTCCTCTTAACAGTCCTATTAAAGCTATTTTATTTTTCAGCGTTCCCACCACGACCAGACGTGTATCCGGTACCCAACCGTAAGTTTCATCCTCATGAAATATCAAAATTATTTTAAACTTTTAAAAAGAGCTTTTATGCGTCCTTGTACAATTCTAACCCTATCTCTGCTTCAAAATAATAGTGTCGGTAGACTATTACTAAGAAGAAAAATACACTACTGTTAGCCTGTTATTGAAAGGTTTGAACAAAATGTATATTATGTAATACTTATTGATGCGAGGCAAGTCCTAACATCCCTTAATATGGGGGACACCATAAGAATTAGCAGTTTTGTCTAGCTGTGGATGAATTTTATTTGATGCTGTTAATACAGCAACATAATTTTATAGAGCTATTATTCGTTTTGATGACTATTATGTATTCGATTTAATTATTCAAAGTGCTTTGAAAACTAGATTTTCTTGAATCACCAGTCCCTGGTTTAAGTCCTAGTTACTTTAAGTTAAATATTTCCTTTTTGGTAACCAGTGTGATGAAGATAATGCGGGATTAGATCCATAGATTAAATAATGAGATAAACTAATTGAAAAATATCATTTTTAGCATACCCAGCTCCAATAGTGATTCCAGTACCGAACCGTAAGTATTAATTACTAATAATAGGTATTATGATTTCTTTTTATTTTATATCCAATCAAAAGATAGGCGTACCTACCTGTATGTGTTACCAACTAATACAATTTTTATAGTACTTACCAATTCCTTTCAAAACTAATTGAGAAAATTCGACACGTGGTGGAAAGATTAAACATGATTAAGTACGTCCAAAACCGTGATTTTTATTATTTTTTGGTATTGCACCTACAGGATAACATTTTTTAAATATTCCTTTTGTTTATTGAGGCTCATACCGACTCGTATTTTTTATTACGATATAAATTTTCTCTTTTTTTTAATTCAGGTCCCAACCTACGTAATCGTAAGTAGTTTTAACAGCATTATAATATCAATATTAACCCTTAACTGGTATTGTGGGAGCCGTGCGGCCCCACGCATGACGTTTTCTTTGATTTCTAGAAGCTACGCATCGTGGCTGCCTAAATTTTTGGTATTCTCTATTATTTCGATTGATTGATAAGATTTTTAATCAGGCAAAAGTGGTTTTGACTAAGGCCCTTGGTCAAAACCACATTGACTAGTCAAATCTTTCTAGAAAAATCAGTCCAAAGTGATATTGACCAAGGACATCAGCTAAGACCATTTTTGACTGATTTTTGCACTCAAAAGTAGTTTTGACCGATTATGAGTTTTGACTGTAACGTATAGTGATATCACTGCTTAACGTATTAAAAGTATGTTTCTTTTCTTTATGGTATAGGTAGGGTGGGCCAAACATTTTTTCAAATAGCACGATTGATTTCTTGAAAGCAGTTCGAGGTAGGGACTCATAGGTGATGGGACGCGCACCGTAATCCGTATTTAGTTCTAATTAAATTAAACAGGCATCTTACAATCAAATAGGCATCGTTTCTTTGGTAAAAAAAATTAAGACAAAAAGCACGCTGTTGTCCCGCGAAGCGCTCCATCCATGAAGCGATGCATAGAGTCCCGTCACCGTTTTCAAGAAATGAATCGTTGTTATTTGTACAATTTTTGGCCCACCCTATCTATAGATACCTATTACGCCATGATTGCTAAATGAATTGATTTTGTTGCAGCGTACCCATGCAATACCGATTCTGACTGTAGCCGTCATTGTCGGAAGCATTGCAACGAGACTATTGAACAATGCATAAACAGCTATTGCTATTGCATTCCGAACTACGCCTACCGACACTTTTACCCGCAAGGTTAATCAACGTACTAGATATCTCTCATTTTTGTCTAACTTTGGTTGGGGTTTTTGAAATAAAGCATTAATAATATTGATTCCTGAAACCTGGGGTGTAACTAGAAACTGATTTAAAGTTCCAGATAAAATTTCAAATTAAAAATTTACAAGCAGTTTTATTTAATCCTCTTCCTATCTTGCATCAGCCTTTTAAGGGCGTAAGTTTTGACGCATTATATTATGAGTAATTTGATAAAAGTGAAATTATTTAATTCTTACAGAAAAAAATAGGTCAGGGCTATCTTACATACTTTACAATCTTCATAAGTCTGCAGAGCTGTCAACCCTATCTTTCGGTGTAGGCTTACAGAGATGCACTAAGTACATAAATCATTATTTTCCACCAGAATACACGTGCCTAATTAATATGCACTGGACACTACTGTGCAGTCAAAGTGTTAGGACTCTTTGCACTGGGCAGTCAGTGTTAGGGCTCTTTGCACTGGGCAGTCAGTGTTAGGGCTCTTTGCACTGGACAGTCAGTGTTGGGACTCTTTGCACTGGGCAGTCAGTGTTAGGACTCTTTGCACTGGACAGTCAGTGTTAGGACTCTTTGCACTGGGCAGTCAGTGTTAGGACTCTTTGCACTGGGCAGTCAGTGTTAGGGCTCTTTGCACTGGGCAGTCAGTGTTAGGACTCTTTGCACTGGGCAGTCAGTGTTAGGACTCTTTGCACTGGGCAGTCAGTGTTAGGACTCTTTGCACTGGGCAGTCAGTGTTAGGACTCTTTGCACTGGGCAGTCAGTTTAGGACTCTTTGCACTGGGCAGTCAAAGTGCTAGGACTCTTTGCACAGGGCAGTCAGTGTTGTAAAGATAAAGATATTTATTTACATAAACATGACGTGTGAAAACATATTACAGAGCAACATGATTTGGTCTCACAGTTTTAACAGGTGATACAACATGTTTTACCAAGATATTGTAACACACAAGTCTATTTGCGGGATCCAGTAATGCAAGATTCCGCAAAACTGTATTGCCGTGGAAAAGAGCCCTATGTGGGCATTGATATAAAAAGCTCTAAAAGTTGTGAAGCCGAGAATTAATAGATAATTGAAATTAGCTGTCATTACAATACGGATTATGTGGAGGGCTCGTTAAAAAGTTGCGCTGCGCGAGGCGCACAATGGGCGAGGTGAGGCGCTTATAAAGGGTGTTTGGTGAAAATATTTCAATTTGTTGCAAACGACGCAATGTTTCGTATTAGAGATGACTGTATAGGTGCATTTTTGTTATATCATTTGAAGTAAGTAATTAGTGTGATACTCTACCATAGAGCCACTACCTTAAATGTCGATGATTTAATGTACTTATGTACGGTAAACGAACATAATGTACGTGTGCCGTTATCGCTGTACGATCATTAGGTTATGATAAAAAAAACATTGATTGTGACTCTGCTGCGGGGAATAGCAGTTATAACAATTCAGTCCGTCTTTTCGGTAGTGATTAAATAAATATGATTGAGTTTCTAACGTACCTAATAATATTATGTAGGTAATAAGAAATAAATAGTCGTTTATATATGCTACACATGAGCCATTTGGAATTATATTCTTAACTGATAAATTGAGAAAAATTATGTAATCAGAATGAAAATTGAGTTTAAAAGCTTTCCAAGCTTACGCCGACGTTCTACGTTATACGCCAACAAAGAATCAATTTTACTTAAGACTAGATTATAAATATTAGACCACTAGCACAGCCATAATGACCACAAATAAATATTCATTTGAACCCAGGACTTCCATGTCAACCATCCACTATCATGACCAACTAAACACAAACTAGGAATCGCTATGAAAATGAACATTCGTACAACTAACACCCTGTATGTGGAGATAGGTAACAACCTTAAGTAAGCATGTTTTGTCTCTTAGTTAAATCTTTGTTCGCGGTGATCCTCAGAAGTGGCGCCCCCTTCCTGTCACTTGCGACATCAAAGGGGGAGGCCATTGTTAAGTTTTGGTTAGCTTAATGACTGGGAATGTCGGATTTGGTAATTTTGTTTACGGGCTCAAAATCGAATATTTACAAGTTTTAACGAGATCTGTTACATTGTTTTTGAAGCCTATTTTTATTCCTGCAGAATAATTTTACACGATAGTAGTTGATAGGAAATGGAAACCAATTAAAATTATTCGCTTACTTACACCAGAATAATTATGAAATTGTTCAAATGGTGCAGTTGACATAACTCACTAACAAATAAAATACAGGATATCATCAAAGGATCACAAGATATTCAGGTACCTATACACAACTCAATAATACAAATCATCATCACTATGATCCCTTTCTATGATCTGAGATTCAAATCCACACAAAAAAAATTGCGAGTGCATACCGCAGTCGCTTGTTTGACTGATGGCAGTAATACCCGAACATAAAAATATTTAAAAAGGATAGGTAAAAATAATTTACCCGCGTATATTTTTAGATTATTCTAAAGTCGGCCTTTATTCTAAAAGTCATAATCATATTTCAATCTATGCAAGAATGTTTTTTACTTCGAAAAATAAAGACATTAAATAATTCATTATTGACATCAGCTGGACTTATACTTAAAATCAAAAACCTCATTCAGTTACCAAAATCCAAAAATCAAAATTATCTTTATTTATTTTTTTACCAAAAACATTCTTAAAACTAAATTTTTCATAACTGACACAAAATAGTGCAGCTATTAGTCGATAAAACTCATTATCGAGCTTATCTCGCCGCCAAGACGGCGACACGTCGTCATAAAGACTTAGCCGCGTTTGATGGAGTGCGGAGGGGGCAAGTGCTAAAGATTATTGTTTCGAGTTTGCGGAGGCGAGGTGTAATTTAATTCAAGCCTCTACCTCTCTGTTAACGATATGTGATGGTGCAGGGAGTGTGTCGATATCGATATTTATCTAACTAAAAATCTAACCTCGTCCTAACATCACTTGAAGTGGAAACGATTTCTTCGGTGCTATCATAATACATTATAATTATACAAACATTATTATCCTTTTCAGGTTTTGAGTAAGATACTTAAATAAGTTACATAATGTCACTTACATAACGCGTAACGTAGGTAATAATAGGCTTAGTTATTTATGACTTATAACGTTTGTATTTTTTAAATAAAAAAATCGACACTATTTAGTCATTCTCATTGCCCAATTGTTTAGAACGAAATTGTTCTAGTTAAGTATTACTTGATTCTTTAATAGAAGATCTTTTGAATAAAATATTTAAAAACAGTTGCCTACATCAACACAATAATGATAGGTAAGAGGGGTAATTTCTCTATGAACAGATTGTGTGGCTTAGCAAAAACTCATTTATCGATACAAATAAACATCGACCCATCCCCCATCCCTATCAAGGTGGTGTTTATTAATCCTATACGTTAAGATTTTAATTGCGGGCATCAAGAACCTTTGTGCGGTCCCGGGTTCGTTCCCGGTTTATCTTACGAGGCGCCACGCAGGCAATTTGCTTTGTTAATTTTATGCGGTTACGTTTTGTTTAATTACTTGTTTTGGTATGTGAAAGACCAATAAAATGGGTATAGTAAAATAAATGTATAAAATTTAACAAAAAATAAAGATTTCACAAATAGGTCACATTATTCTTCTTCTTATCCTGGCCCTTTTACTGTCCCGAAGCAGTGGTAGGGTTAAAGTAATAATGGGACGTGTCAATAGAGCTTTTTGAAAGCCTATTTGCAGAATATAAATATTATTTAAGTATGACATTAAAATCGTTTTCTTATGATGCCAAGCATTTGATAAAAAGCTAACACACGAAGCGTTCAATTAAATTGATACCCAACAATCTTAGCCCCTATCTCCATCACAATAGTGCCTACTCATAACCCTCCCATGAGGACCGGGCCATAAATAAGGTGTTCCATAAACCAGAGACCACCTAGTCCATCCGTCAAATCTTTATCAGCAAAAACGGCAATATCCACCTCTAAAAATGAGTGCCGCGCCCCGCGCCCTAAAAACAACTATTTATCTCATGCTTTCATAAATCAAGCTTTTTTATCTGCCCATCGCGAAGGTAAATAAATGGGGGTTAAGGTGATGTGGGACCTTGGAGTTAATGGAGGATTTTTGTTTGGACCCTATATAGGAAATAGTGAGTATTATGAAGTTAGAAGCCTGTATAGAAAGAAAATTGATGAATAACTTAGTCCATTTGACCAAGTTTAAAATAAATAGAGTTCAAGAATAGAGAACAAAAACACATTGTTGCTAAATTCTGTAATTGCCTACTTTGTGTCACTGTAAAGAGTCTAGCTAGGTCTAACTGCAATTAGTACAATAAAGTTATGCCAAAATATCAAACAAAATAAACTGTAAATAAAGAAAATTGATTTGATTTGATTTTGATTTGACTGTACTACCTTTACTAATCAGTAAGAGTTCTACCTACTCGCATATAACACGTTTTCTTCGATCAAGACGCGCTAAATTTATAGGGTGTAGCGTCCTATTTCAGTTTAATGAGACCTCAATTAACATCGGTCCAAAAGACCACCACGATTACAACCTTTGTATCAACTAATCACTTAACACTAAACGGCCGGGGTCAAAACATCCCTACAAAGGTGTCCGATTGGGCAAACAATTCAGAAGGGTCTGTACGATCTTAATTATTAGCAAGGTGGTTAAGGGTTGAATTTATGACGCGTTAATACCGGCCGACGTGTGTCGCCTGCAATTATGTTCGCCCGGAATTAAATTTACCTGAACTATGGGGTCGTTTAGACCCAAACTAGTTCAGTTATTGAAAGTTGAGACGTGTTAATGGGGCCGATTAGTGATTATTACACTTTATATTGGATATAAATAACCTTACTAATGGGTATATTAAATTGCAAAAACGTATCTATTTCATATTCCAACATAAAATTTTTGAATCTACTTCAGTATTATTTCAGCAAATGCAAACACGAAATTAATATTCAGTATGATAGGTAATGGATGATTGTTAAATAAAAGGCAAGAAAAATGAGCAAATAATTATATTCAATCAAACACACGTGAAGCTTCGTCTTCAACTCAAACTTGTAGGATATAAAGGCCTCTCTCAAGGGACGCCACTAAGCCCTCTCCTTGTTGGCTACTTTATCAATAAGTTACGATGCAACTATTCGTCGGACTGTGCTTGGTCTAAAACATTCATTAAAAAACAAACAACACATTTATCAGAACTGAAAAGCAGATCAATTCTACTTGGTGACTACAGCATGGGTGTAGCAGATGAGGCGAAGGGTCAAAAAGTAGACGATCTCCATGAAGCTGAGGACGCTGCAGCCGAGAAACAAGCCGGCCATGCCGCCGACTGCCACTGCAATTTTAATCACCATATCAATAATGAGGATAACATAGCTGAAGTTGGGTGAACTTGCCATGTTTAAAAAAATATGTTAAGGAGGCTTGTCCCCTTACCCAAAAGACATTCGAGTGACATATCTGCTTTAGTTACAAAAGAGAGGAATATTCATTCATAATTACATNTTGGGTAACTAAATGTATCAAAACATTTCAGTCCAACTTACTGTCAACTCGACGACGCGCTTTAGAATCAAAGATTGACTTTGAATTATGCCTTATTTTACAATTCACATTGAAAACAATATGCTTTGCCTGAACTTTTTCGACTTTTTCAGAAAAATAACAAATAGTCAAGAAGAGATTACAGAAATTTTTCAGCGGCTGACAGATTTCATAATTTTCTTTGACAGATGACAGTTAAACCATAGACAATTGCCATATGAAAAACACGCTTTTCCAATATTTTTGTTTGCCATGAGATTCTGGTACACCTATAGGTATTAAAGTGCAAAAACGTATCTATTTCACATTAAAACATACATTTTTTGAAAACACTTAAGTATTTTCAGGAACACGAATAAATATTCAGTATGATAGGTAATGGATGATTGTTTTAAATAAAAGGCAAGAAAAATGAGAAAAAATTATATTCAATCAAACACACGTGAAATTTCGTCATCAACTCAAACTTGTAGGATAGGGAGGGACGCCACTAAGCCCTCTCCTTGTAGGCTACTTTATCAATAAGTTCAAATTACGTTGCAACTATTCGTCGGACAGTGCTTGGTCTAAGAACATTCATTAAAAATCAAAAAATACATTTATCATAACTGAGAAGCAGATCAATTCTACTTGGTGACAGCAGCATGGGTGTAGCAGATGAGGCGAAGAGTCAAGAAGTAGACGATCTCCATGAAGCTGAGGACGCTGCAGCCGAGAAACAAGCCGGCCATGCCGCCGACTGCCACTGCAATTTTAATCACATTATCATTCATGTGAAGAATGAGGATAACATAGCTGAAGTTGGGTGAACTTGCCATGATTAAAAAAATATGTTAAGGAGGCTTGTCCCCTTACCCAAAAAACATTCGAGTGACTTATCTGCTGTAGTTACATAAGAGAGGAATATTCATTCATAATTATTTATTTTCATACGATTAGGTACATAATGGCAGCGATATAGCGTCTGTATTGCCTCCGTTAGTTTTATAATTTCGTATGGAAATAAATGGGCAAGCCTCGTACCTACTTAGGCCCAGAACAGGCGGTGAAACGCAACTGCAACGAAACTGCAACTTTGTGATGATTCTGATAAATGAAACTGAAACTGAAAGTTTTAAACTGGTCGCGTCATGTGTGGTCTCTCAACGGACGCTATGGCAGCAACTTAGATGCAACTCAAAAGTAACTAGCAGTTGCAGTTCGTTGCAGTTGCGTTTCACCGTCTGTTCTGGGTCTTACAGAAGCTAGTCAGAGTTGCCAACATACCCAAGACATCGGTGAAGCCAAAGATAATATCCCTCTTGTATCTCATCCTGGGGTACGTCACGATTCCCCACTGCAAGTTCGTTCCTAGAAACCACTCCTGGAGGGCGTTGGACTGGATCACGTAGTTCACATCATCGCAAATCGGGAGGCAGCCGCAGTTGATCTTCTTGCCGTCCTTCTCTTGCAGTTTGTAGAGCTCATCTATACGAAAGAGATGCAAGATTAGTTTAATTAATACTATTGTTAAACGGAAAACATGATGAGTTTCTTTACCTTTATACTTGTACAAACATTGCAGGTCTTTTACGTTGCATATTTTCTCATCACCTGTAAAGTAGATGGTTACTTAACTTACCTTACTTACTGAGAAAAAAACGTTAATCAATATCAGCCTCTCACTTGATACAAGATTAGTTTACCAATTTTTCGGTAGAAGTGAGGAATGCAGTTACAATACTTGAGACAGAGTCGAATGCGACACTCCATGCGGCACATAGTGTAAGTATACACAGAACTGTGCTTCAAGATGTTCTCATTGAGAAACCGACAACGTCTTTGGGCAACGCTTAGTCTGTGAAAAGATTAGAAAAAAAAAGTATTTCATTTAATACAGACGTTTTATTTGATTGATTGAAGTAGTTTAACAAACATGCGCACGCGCCTTCACTACAAAAAGTAGTATTTATTCATCACGATAAAACATTGCTCACCTAGCGGCATCAGGCGTCGTATACACAGTAAGTGCGGTCACATACAGCTTCATGTAAAAGTCCTCGTCTGAATGCTGACGCTTTGTTGATATATCAGGTACTTCTGACGGACCGTGAACGTAGACCTGGAAATAGTAGCAGAGATTTGAAACATTTTAAGGCATCAATGGCTCAAAAAAGCACTTTAGCTTGCGACAAAAATTGATACATATTTATTTACATTGTTATTAAGGCAATAGAAATCAGAGACAAACTTACGTCATAGGATGCCGATATATTGATAACTTGCGCAAACACTTCTCCATCAAGTGGGTGCACGAAGAATGTGCTGTTTTGGGTGGACACCTCATCCCATCTATTGGCTACTCTGTATCTGTAATGGTGAACTTATATGCTTTGGGTTCTGAACATATTCTATACAATATGCATGGTAAATTCAGTGAACTGCTCCTGAATCGAATGTACCTACTACTACTATTTCTATTTATTTATATTAACCGGCAGACAGTGGTGACTGAGTTTGTTGCGGCGCTTCTTCTCAGCACTTGCCAAATGTTGGTCTCGAAGCGCTGGTAGGGTAAAAAGATTATGAGACATGTAGAGGCTCCTTAAGAGCAAAATGACGATTTGTAAGAACTATTTATTAGTCTAAACAAATAAAGAAATTTTGACTTGACTTGAATAACAATCTTAAACATAGAATTCGCTTGACAACAACAGTAGAAACTTACGCTGGTGAATTATAAACTGCCACCTGAGAATTGACGGCATAGCAGAGCCCCATCTCAGTGATGGTAGGAACAATATCCAGCATGATACCCGAGGCACCAATAGTGAGGGTGGGCTTGAAGCTCGCCGTCAGATTCAGGATTAGCTCCATGTATTTGTCTGAAGGTATACCATCGTAGTCCGGGATCAGGTTGAAATTGTCGAAGGTGGCATTTGCGAGAGCCTTGATAAACGCTTCTAGCTTGGCTTTATCTTTTTCCTTGGAGTTTCTGTAATGTGGACAAATCAGTCATCCACTGGAACTTCATCGTCGTTAATGATCAAATGATGTAGAGCAATTACGCTATTGGTAAATGTAGATTAACTACACTTATTTCGACTTTAGTTTGACAATATTTAATTTTACTCACGCGAAAAGTGGTGGTAATTTTGAAACCATGCAGGTTTAGTCGAAGGTACCGTATTACAGCAACGATAAAACTCAGTTTTTGAAATATCAGCCATAAGCAAAGCAATATGAAATATTTTCAAAGATGATGCCTATTTTAAGATACCATTTAATCAATTTTCTTACTTTACATATACTTCAAGCTTCTTCAGATCCAGGTTATTGTTGGGGCATATGGTGACGCATGGGAAGGTGGTATTCCATGCAAACATGTCTCGATCCATGGACACAACAGTAGGCGAGGACTGGTAGCGGGTCCAGGTGGTCCGGGAGAGGTATACCGAGCCGAATACGGAGAGGCCGACCATAGTGAGCCAGAGGACGCTACAAAAACAGAAATGTTGCTAATTCTGCACTGGATACTCGGCAATCGTGTTGAAAATTAGGTTTTCTATGAAGATCTAGTCTTTTTCAGACACGAATATTTTAAGTACAGTCTAAACTTAACAAAAAGTGTAAATAAATTCAGAAGAAAGTGACTAGATACAATGAAAGAGTAGGTACTTACACTTCCAAAGGATGCCTTCCAATGGCCACCATGTGGTTCAACCCATGAATCGAAGACGTTTCAAGGAACAACACCAAATAGCTCTTCGCTTTGTCTTTGACGACATGAAAAGCGGTCCTCCTCTTGCTTGATGGTTTACTTTTACTTGTTTTCGAGCCGTAGAGCTCATCTTGGATGATTTGAGATTGAAATGTGCGTTCGAAAAACATTGTTCTTCAAAAGACTTTAAAACGCCGAATTTTTAAGACTTAAAACACGTTACGTTTACGTTTAAACAAGTCTTAAAGTTTGCCACCTTCCGCCTGCATCGTCAGTTGTTTGAAATATGGGTGAAAACCCACTCAAACTCCGGGATCTGACTTAAATTCAATCTGAGATTTCTTTAAACACACAAGATGAGTGGTTGTGAAACTAAATGGCTATCTTATAAAGTAAGTAACGTAAAGTATCGTCCATTGCAAGAGTGAAAAACCAACTTGCTATCATCAACTTATTAAAACCAAACTGTTCACTTAACAACCGTACAAAGCCCGTGGTCGTGTCAAATGAAGCTAAATCCTTGTGAAATCAGGCAGTGCAATTAGTGGCGTTCGTGTTAAGGGTTGATTACGTGGTAATCGTGATCTGATAGAGGCGGAACGATGTCAATATGAGGTAATGAGTTTCCATCGAGTGGAGTGTCGGACTTTTCATTAGGTTCAATTTGGTATTGGTATTTACCGAGGGTTTTCTCAACCTTTAGTTGTTGTACCAAAATATTTTAACTACAAAACAATGATAGCTTAATCAACTTATAATAACTGTTGAATAGCTCACTCGATAAGAGGATTATCCCAAAGATTAACGTAGGTAGGTAATCAGTATCTGAAATTGTCCGTACAATATTGTTAATTATGCGTATCTAACAAACATGCTGACTAATTTATTGATTAAAGAATGATTTACTTCATGATTGTAATCGTACGTTTTTTATCATATTTGGTTAAGAGAAAGAGAGCTCTTAAGGAAAGATTAATCATAGATAGGACATGCTTAAAAATAACTATTTGAGTATCAAACTGGAGAGATATATTTTAGAAATAAAAACATCATGTAGCTAACCATAACAAAATTATTAACAAAGCACATAATGGGTGCTATTAGATGTAACATTACTGTTGTTTTCAACCATCGATAGCAAACCATGGAAATTACTCAATAAATAATTTAATAAAAATTTACAGCACGAAAACATGCTCGACACGCAAATCAAATCAAACTTTCACCAACTAATAAATGCAAAGAAGAATATTATATAAGTACTTTATTGCCTACCCAAACATTTAATGGATTTTAAACGAAAGGAATAGACAATATTCTCCTACAGCTTCAAAGGGAACCAAGGTGGAAAATAATGGTAAATAATTGGAAAGCCTAACAAAATCCATTTTCAAAAAATTAATATCTCTCTGTCAACTTAAATAGGTAGGTAAACAAACTTTTCCATGCTCGTTTCAAAGCTCTATAACAATATTTGTGCATAATGAATCTTATTCTGGAACCAACAGAGTCTTTAATATCTGAAGCTGTATTGGTGAGAGATGGTAGAAAAATTGAGTCCCGTCAACAGTTTGACGGGTGGATGGAAAAATTTTAAGCATTATTCGACGCTTAGCATGTGTAAACTGCCGAAGATAAATCGTGCCTTTTTGACACTTCAGATCTTTAAAACAAACGCTATTTTCGTGTGAAAAATGAATGAGTGGCGTGATGTGTTGATGTTGGACATCAGTCGACGTGGGTTTTGATATTGGGTGTGTTGAAATAGAGGAGCTATGTTTGTAAAACGATCAACATTAATTGAACTGAAGAAATGGTTTAGGAAGTTTTGACAGGAATGTGGAAGCACTAAATATTGGATAACACCATGCATGATAGTTATTTCATACTCTGTCAGTGTTCCAGTCTGTGATTAACTCTAGCCTAACTTAATCTTGACCTTTCCCTTTGAGCATTGGACCAGATTTATATTACTTAAGATACAATTTCTTAAGAAAGCTGCTGTCTTACATTCGATACTAGTGGTTCTGACTGGATTTTGAACAGAGCATAAAAAATTAAGGCAACTTTTCATTCACACAAATATTTCTGAATGGAATCAAAAGAAATCCAATTAAAATATCTTATCAAAAACACCTTCCACTGGAAACGCAACAAGGAAAAAATCAAATTACACCGCGAGGAAGGTAAACACTGAGACCTTACGAACGAAATCCCTTGTAAAGTCTAATAATTTCCGAAGTGTCATGTCGCCAGAATAAATGAAGTGGAGAAAATAAATTTCATTTAAAAATCAAGGCACACCATTATTTTCCTCGGGGCTCCCCTAATTAATTTCTTGTCACCGTCCGGATCGCCGTCGTGGGTATGACAGCCGGGGAGAGGGAGACAACCGTAGGACTTTTCAATACGTGTAAAAGGGACGAATAGATAAAGGTGAGTTTGCTTCATTACCATCTTTTAGTAGTTAGGAGATACGAAGTTCGCTCCAGTAGAGTTCTGTTCTCCTGGTACTTCTTATTAATGACCGTGAATAATTAGTTCGCGACGGTGTTTTGTTTATCTGAAATTTAAGACGACTTTATGCACAGTGATCGATGTATTTTAAGCTTCCGGATAGGTAAACAAAATAATAAAGTACCNCTTTGTCCTTGACGACATGAAACGCGGTCCTCCTCTTGCTTGATGGCTTACTTTTACTTGTTTTCGACCCGTAGAGCTCATCTTGGATGATTTGAGATTGGAAAGTGCGTTCGAAAAACATTGTTCTTCAAAAGATTTTAGAACGCCGAATTTTTAAGACTTAAAACACCGTCTGCATCGTCAGTTGTATGAAATATGGATGAAAAACTCCGGGATTTGGTTTCAATTCAATCTGAGTGACATTTTTTTACCACCCACACAAGATACGTGGATGGGAAATTAAATGTCTATCTTTTAAAATTATTATCGTTCATTGTACGAGAAAAAAACTTGCTATCATCAACTTATTAAAAGCAAACTGTTCACTTAACAACCGTACAAAGCCCGCGGTCGTGTCAAATGAAGCTAAATCCTTGTGAAATCAGGCCGTGCAATTAGTGGCGTTCGTGTTAAGGGTTGATTACGTGGTAATCGTGATCTGATAGTGGCGGAACGTTGTCAATATGAGGTAATGATTTTCCATCTAGTGGAGTGTCGGACTTTTCATTAAGTTCAATTTGGTATTGGGATTTACAGAGGGTTTGCTCTACCTTTAGCATGTTGGACCAAAGTATCTGGTTACTACTTAAATGATAATTTTAACTGCAAAACAATGATAGCTTAAATTGGTTAATAGCTCTAACGATAAGAGGATTACCCCAACGATAATTATAACGTTGTCAGTATCTTCAATTGTCCGTACAAACTTATTAATTATGCGTATCTGACAAACATGCTGACTAATTTATTGATTAAAGAATGATTTACTCCATGATTGTAATCGTACGTTTTTTATCATATTTGGTTGAGTGAAGGAGAGCTCCAAGGAAAGATTATTAATAAATCATAGATAGGACGTGTACGTATGCTTAAAAATAACTATTTGAGTGTCAAACTGGAGAGATATTATATTTTAGAAATAAAAACATCATGTAGCTGACCATAACAAAATTATTAACAAAGCACATAATGGGTGCTATTAGGTGTAACATTATTGTTGTTTTCAACTATCGATAGCAAACCATGGAAATTACTCAATAAATAATTAAATAAAAATTTGCTGCACGAAAACGTGCTTAACACGCAAAGCAAATCAAACTTTCACCAACTAATAATACAAAAGAAGAATAAAATATGTAAACTATTCAAAAACTGTATGGATTTTTTTAAATGAAAAGAAATAGACAATATTCTCCGGAGTGCAGCTTCAAAGGGAAAAACCAAAGTGGAAGATGTTGATAAATAATTGGAAAGCCCAACAATATCAATTTTCAAAAAAATAATAGCTCTCTGTCAACTTAAATAGGTAGGTAAAGAAACTTTTCCATGCACGTTTCGAAGCTCTATAGCAATATTTGTGCATAATGAATCTTATTCTGGAACCAACAGAGTCTTTAATATCTGAAGCTGTATTGGTGAGAGATGGTAGAAAAATTGAGTCCCGTCAACAGTTTGACGGGTGGATGGAAAAATTTTAAGCATTATTCGACGCTTAGCACGTGTAAACTGCCGAAGATAAATCGTGCCTTTTTGACACTTCAGATCTTTAAAACAAACGCTATTTTCGCGTGAAAAATGAATGAGTGGCGTGATGTGTTGATGTTGGACATCAGTCGACGTGGGTTTTGATATTGGGTGTGTTGAAATAGAGGAGCTATGTTTGTAAAACGATCAACATTAAATTTGAACTGAAGAAATGGTTTAGGAAGTTTTGGCAACAATGTGGAAATATGTACTAAATATTGGATAAACAACACCAATAGTTACTTCATACCAAACACCGTCTCTGATTACCTAACTCTAGCCTAACTTCCTCTAACTGACCTTTCCCTTCGAGCATTGGAATTTGGACCAGATTTCTTTACGGAAAATGAGTTGGCTGCTGTCTTACATTCGATCCTAGTGCTTCTTGATGGATTTTGAGCAGAGCATAAAAATTAAAGCAACTTTTCCTTCACACAAAAATTTTTGAATGGAATCAAAAGAAATCCAATTAAAATATCTTATCAAAAACACCTTCCACTGGAAACGCAACAAGGAAAAAATCAAATTACACCGCGAGGAAGGTAAACACTGAAACCTTACGAACGAAATCCCTTGTAAAGTCTAATAATTTCCGAAGTGTCATGTCGCCAGAATAAATGAAGTGGAGAAAATAAATTTCATTTAAAAATCAAGGCACACCATTATTTTCCTCGGGGCTCCCCTAATTAATTTCTTGTCACCGTCCGGATCGCCGTCGTGGGTATGACAGCCGGCGAGGGAGACAACCGTAGGACTTTCCAATACGTGTAAAAGGGACGAATAGATAAAGGTGAGTTTGCTTCATTACCATCTTTTAGTAGTTAGGAGATACGAAGTTCGCTCCAGTAGAGTTCTGTTCTCCTGGTACTTCTTATTAATGACCGTGAATAATTAGTTCGCGACGGTGTTTTGTTTATCTGGAATTTAAGACGACTTTATGCACAGTGATCGATGTATTTTAAGCTTCCGGATAGGTAAACAAAATAATAAAGTACCTACCTAATTAAAAAATTAACATTTATTATTTGTCCGATATGTACAAAGAAGTCTTGCGCAGAGAATGGCGCAGTATTAATTTTAGTGGGTGCAATTCACAATTCTCATTTTGAATAGGTAACTATGCCTTATCAATGACTATTTACCTCACACAGAGCACTCAATCGCAGAGCCGACTGCAGAAGCATCTAAAATAGTTATTTACCTTCCCAAGCCCTCAACATCTCTAAAAAGATTAAAACCGTATCTCATTAATTAAATGAATGTTTACACACCGAAACAAAAAGCCCGGTGCGTCGCAAAAGGCTGTGTACACACGAACATGATTAAACAAGCTTAATTTTCTTGTACGAGTTACACCAAGACGCCGAGTGTATTTGCCGAAAGTACAAGTAAATATTTCGAACGGGAACGCTGAGGTGGAAATCTTATGGGTTGCTAGTGTGGAACGGGCTTTAAATAAAGAAGATCCATATAAAATTTTCACCTAGGTGACTAGACCTTTAGTAAAATGGAGACTGGTGTCTTTGTCGTGCTGATAAAATTTCTCTTACAAATGTGAATAGAATAGAATAGAGTTTATTTATTGCTTTTTCTGTGTACAGTTTGCAGTTGTTTGGGCATAAAATTCGTTACAACAGATTGCTCATATTGAGCATGCAATATTAAATTGTACAGACGATGCCACATCGAGACAATACTTATTGTGCATAACGTAATTAAACCTTACATTGAACAAGTGTCAGGAGGACCTATACAAATGCCTGACACTTCTTGCAATATTGACACACATACCTGTTGCATTATAATATGTCTATATTATTTTATGCTTATTCTTTCAGTTATCTTTGACAAAAGATGTAGCACCTATTAAGCTAATCGCCACTTTCTACAAGCTTTTTAAACTTATAAAATCGTTACAAATCAATTCCTAAAAATATTGTTTGTATCCTCAACAGAAAAAAGGAAAACGTCAAAAACAGCAGAACACAACTAACCACGATGCTAATATTAACTTTCCTCGTACAAACTTAGTTAATTAATACCCAATTCTAATTCCACATTAACTTAACATCGACACCGCCACTTAATTTGAATTCCCGGCGCAAGAGTGTTTAATAAAACATCCTTTTGATTTACATCGTTCCAAATCTGCACCTTTCCCTTTGTTCGCAAACACGCGTTCACCTCCGCTCGCGAACATTTACAATTTTATTCATGATTACGTAATTTTGAATTGTTATAGTGTAGATAGAACAGCCAAAACATTGACTGACGTTGTGGAACTTAGATGGCAAGTGCAGCAGATCGTATTTGAAAGATGGCTACGGTCAAGAAATGGATTAGCTGAAGAATGTCTGATGATATGAGTAGAGTAGAGACAAGATAATAATGATAATCACGGGAGACACAACACATTAAAAGCAGATTTACTCTTTGAAAATCTTTGATTCATGCAATACAGAGGGTAGTAAAGTAGGTATTTTAGCTAAGCCTGCACTAAAAACTGTTAGGAAAAAGTTTCGTTCTAGTGAGCTGTTGGTTATTTTTGTCCTATGTTTCAGATCTACAGATTCGTCTGAAGTAAATTAAATAGCCTGTAAAAGTTAAATGGCGATGGCTTCATTTGAGTACATTTTAATTATTCATCCGCTGAATATTACTGATACCTACATTTTTGTAGTTATAGCGTGATAAGCTACTGTTGTATTGAGTAATAAATAGTTATTCTATCGATAGATAAAATCATATCGTGTAATGACATTGATAGATTAAATTAGTTAAGATCGACACCCAGGGGCCGATTGCGATCTACAAGGGGTCCTTACAACACCAGGTGATACGATTTATGCACTGTTTCAATAAAACCCCTTGAAAACCAAGAAACAGTAAATGGTAGTAACATAATGATAAGAATAGAAAGCTTGGAGATCTCTGAATTAAAAAAACCGATGGAATTTTAGACTTAATTATCATCCTGTATGCACCTATGTAAAGCCCCCTAGGCCTCTGTTATCTGCCTGTCTCATCAATGAGTAAGGTAGGTAGGTCCTGTTAACTTTGGTTCATACTTAGAAAAATCCCTTTTGATTTTAGGGATCCCGATAAATTGAATAATTTATTTATGACTTACGTAGTACTTATTATTATTCTGTGCTTTCACATTCAACGATTATGACCATAGTTATACTCGTAACTGAAAATTATCTAAAGCAGTAAAAAGTATGACATGCATCATACAAGAAAACATCGAAACGGTGCGTATGGATTTGCGTTTAATTAAAATAAAATACTTTAAAATTATTAGACAAATACGACAATCAATGTTTATTTGAGAGACGAAAGCCATATAATAGCCACAATATTGTCCTAATTTAATAATTTTTTCTGACGGGATTGCTACCATGTACCTTAATTTCAGTTACTGCGTGACCATGGCGCTTGCAACAGTGCTGAAAATATCGGAAACTCAAAATTATGGTACCTGGTAGCAATCCCGTCTGTAATAATAATTATGTTAGTGACCATGAAAGTTTAAAAAAATATGTATACATATTGTCCTAATTTTCTTCTTTCTTCTGTCTCTTTCTACTGTATCTTTCTCCTTAAATGATGATTGCCCGCCAGGCGTTGGACTCCACGCTGTACCCCTCGCTATTGAAGGCCTGTACCACGAAACGGAACCAGGTGTACTGGTACAGGGGCGCGACCACCGCCATGGTCTGGCCGGGTCCGTACGCGTACACGTCTTGGTACCGGGAGAACATGTTGTTCGAACCGGATTGTATCCATGACGTCACCTGGAGAAGAAGTGTGGATGATATTTTACCGTAAAAACTTTATGAAATGGAAATGATTAGGTTTGTCTCTTGATGACATTATTTGGAAAGATTCGAATGGTAGATGAGCTTCTTCAGATAATATGGAGTACTTGGTTAGACAAGTAACCGGAAAGAAAATCTTACAAGTTCGAATGAATGATGTTTTTTTTTTGGTTTTAGATAATTTTATTATTCACAGCTATTTTGCACAAAACAAACAGCATTATTAAATGTATTTTCTTTTAAAATAAAGAGGGTTGTGGTTTAAATATATCATTTACACAGAGGGGAATAAACAACTTAAAAAAATAATTAAAAAAAATTATAGCACATACCTTGTATCCAAGAATATTATTGGATCCCTCGCCGGGGCTCCATGTAATGGCGGTGCCCATGAAAGGCTCCAGGAACGTGTTAAGGTGTTCCAGGGTCGGAGCTGGTACAGTACTGGCACGGGCACCAGTTTCGCTTGCCTTGGGCTCTTCCTTGATGACGTAGGTCAGAGCTTGGGCCGCAGCCACGAGTAGCAGGAAGGTGAAGCACTTAAGCATCATGGTTCTATGTGTGCTGCCTCAGAACAAATCCAGGTGTGGCCGACTTGCAAGTGGTCGGCGGCCAATAAATACTATTAACGGTTACGATTCATTTACTTTTGATAATTGTTATAAATGGCAAAACGTGATTAGGATTCAGATATCTATATTATTAAGTTTTTGGCAATCTTTATATTAGTGATTAATATAAAAAATGTATGTTTGTTTATTTTATCTATGAAAATAATTCTGAAATAAGTTAAAATAAGTGTGATTCTTACTTAGCTTTTTGACAGATTCGAATCTTCCTAGCGAATTTTAGCGTTATGTGACGTTATCCGAAGTCAGGAATGATTAAAGCACACAAATTATGAAGAAAAAAAGAAAGGCATCTTTACTTAATTCACATTAGATCTGGTACATAAATAGTAAGCATAGAATTAGTGCCAAAAAGAACACCCACGTAAGACAGCAGTTTATACTCTTTATTTTATTTAGGTACCCACTTGAAAGAAGCCACAGAAAACCACTAGTCTAGTATTTCGTATCAGCTTTTAAGACTATAATACAATTTAAGTTACACGGATCTGCAGATGATAAAAACCTACGCCTCGTTGCGAGTGATAAATACGCTAATACCAATTTATTGTACCTTTGATAAAACCCATGCTATGGCCATGTGGCGTACTGTAGTAGGAAGAGGACGACCAGTAGGGGGTACAATACCATAGGTACATCGTAAAACTCCATAAATAAATAGAGACCTTTAGAAAGACACGAGTCTTAACGCGACATTTGTGAATGGGAACATTATGTACTCACTTATGGCTTGACCAGCCGTGGTCACAAGCATTTAATTAAGCTATTTTAGTTGAAATGGAACGCGAAAGTTTAAAATCTTATATTGTACATGTTGACAAAATTTAATAAATAAGATCAAATTATGCCTCTGAGCTGGAAACCAGAGGAAAGTTTACGATACCAATTTAAAAACTTTAGATTTTCCCATGTTTTTGATAATAAATGAACTGCAAACAAGTGACTAAAAACATGAAAATAATAACTTGTTTTCTGTTTAGTTACATTGTTTTTTTTTTTTCAGTAAGCGCCTCTTTTAAATAAATGCAAATAATGGAAGAGCCGTAAGTTTGCTAACTGCAAACTGATAGGAGATATATTTCTTTAGTAGGTACCAAAGTAAATAGACTGCCCATTTTGTAAGTCAAAACAGCATGTTTTATTACATAGGATGTGAGCTATAAATAAAGCTTCCACGAAGCTTTAAATTCTAAACTCTACACAAAGAGCAATAAGGCTGAGACACACAGAGCAGTTTCAAATAATCAGTAGGTAGATTTTTATTTTTAAACAAAGTAATTTTAGTGTAGAAATGTATAGTAAAAGTAAGTACACTTCAAAATGTAGTATTGTATCACTCGAAGTGCAAGGAAAACGAAATTTTCCCAAAATGTCTAGCTTTCCGAAGTCCTATGGTGAACATTAGGCATCACTTATCCTTATAACTCTCCATTGTAACAGCCCTGGAGTATTATGACTTAATGAACGAAAAATTAAAATTTGTAAAGTGGATAACAATGTACTTGTATTTATTGATAACTTTGAAAGTGGATTTAGAAATTGCAAGTAACTACTATACCGGCGAAAATGTCAGTATCGATAAATTCAGCAAAATGCTTAGCAAAAGAAAATTAGAAACCCCTTTGCAACTTGACTTTTTCCTGCATGCTTTCCGCCCCAACCACTGCGACAAAGGAAACAATAAAACGCAGGCAAATCGTCCCCGTAGGTAACACCTACTAATAAAAATTCCTCCAAATCAATACGTTCTCTTTTACGCTTTTTGTATTGTATTTTATTTTGTTATTCGCCTCCGCCTCGTGTTAAAGGGACAATTCTGGGATCTAGAGGTTGTAGCGTGATTATATTGCTTGATACTTTTTGCAAAATTTAATTATGTAGAAACTGAATTATTAGATAGTTTGTACCAAATTATCAAAGTACTTTTGCTTGTTATTAATTGAGTATAATATCATCTGTCAATATATTTTAGACAGCTTAATACATAAAATTTTATATTAGTATCTTACGATCCATTCCATCATAAGTACCTTCTTTAGTTTACTTTTTAGGAGACCCCGGCGACTTTGTTATAAAAAATGTATGCACTGAAATAAATCATATTTTTATATTGACTTTAAAATTATCTACGATACCTACCTTCAAGAGAACCTAATTGTGAACATTATTAACCTTGTGTGCTCCAAAGTTTGAGAAACAATAATGGATTATCGCCATAGATAAGACAAAAACTTCCATAGCAACATAAACGTATTTCACAACAAATAATCTCGGCATTAGTTGTTTACTACATTTTTGTAAACAGCTAAGCGTTTCAAGGATATGAGTCATATTCGTTACAAATACACAAAATGTAGGTCACCTTAACAATGCTTTTGTTAGAGATAAACTATTCGTCATGGGTTTTTATGTTGCCCTTTTCGAAGGTTTAAAATAATAATGGCTAGTCAGCATTTAGTTTCAAATATGCTCTGTGACCAATTTGTATGGGAAACATACAAATATAGCGTATAATAATCAATTTAGACGCCTGAATCTTCTTTTTAGTATAAAATACAATCCATCAACCGTTCCGTACTACTAACTTATTAGCATTGATAAACTAGATTGTCCAAAGGAAACAATTTTTAAATTAACAAGCAGAGGAGTTCATGCACTAGGTAGGTAAGTCCTCGTAGGTACTTAAGCAACTAAACGTTCCTACCAAACACCGATGCTTGATTATTTTTTTAGCTATGGTGATGGTTGCAAGTATCAAAACCATCCCATCCCCCTACAAAAGCACCCGTAAACACGTTGGATCCTGTACTATCCTCGTTTGCATACCGTGCGCGCGCGTGTGTGTGCGATTGACAAGCGCTAAATGCTGGGGCGCCCGTTCCAAACGTTAAACACTGTTTATTGGCACGTACACTCGGCAAAAATTCCAATAAAACTCCAAAAGGAATTCGGCACGAAAGAATAACGTTTAATTTGTCCCGAAGGTCCCGTGATTTATACGACCGAATTAAATGGCCGACTTTGTATTCAAATGTTAATGCAAAACGGTCAGCTATTGACCATTTGTACGTAAGTAAATCTTGCTGGTGACATCAATAATGTCGCTTGGGAAGTGGAAAGGAAGCTGGCTTAAATTGTACTCGAATCAACTGAATTGTTTGGATACCCATATATTTTCCGTAGAAAAATAATTAAGGGTAAAAGTTTTAGTAAAAACTGCAACGCTTATTATTAAGAAATACCATCAACTGAAATATTTCGTAAGCACAAAAAACAANCTTTAAATAATAGCACTATACAATTTTCATCTAGGTGACTAGACCTTTAGTAAAAATGGTGACTGTTTTTGTCATGCCGTTAAAATTTCGAATACAACTGTCCATAACGTAATAAACCTTACTTTTGACAGGTGTTAGGAGGACAAACAAATGCCTGACACTTCTTGCAATCATCATCATCATTTAATTTTCAGCCACAGGACGTCCACTGCTGAACATAGGCCTCCCCCAATGACTTCCGCATCGCACGGTTGGTAGCGGCCTGCATCCAGTGCCTTCCAGCGCCTTCTTGTAATATTGACACACATAATTATTGCGTTATATGTCTATATTATTTTATGCTTATTCTTTCAGTTATCCATGACAAAAGATGTAGTACCTATTAAGCTAGTTGCTACTTTCTGCAAGCTTTTTTAAACTTATAAAATCGTTAAAAATCAATTCTTAAAAATATTGTTTGTATCCTCGACAGAAAAAAGGAAAACGTCAAAAACAGCAGAACACAACTAACCACGATGATGCTAATATTAACTTCCTTCGAACAAACTTAGTTAATTAATACCCAATTCTAATTCCACATTAACTTAACATCGACACCGCCACTTAATTTGAATTCCCGGCGCAAGAGTGTTTAATAAAACATCCTTTTGATTTACGTCGTTCCAAATCTGCACCTTTCCCTTTGTTCGTAAACACGCGTTCACCTCCGCTCGCGAACATTTACAATTTTATTCATGATTACGTAATTTTGAATCTCTGTAGTGCAGAAAGAACAGCCAAAACATTGACTGGCGAAACTTGTCTGGACTTGGTGATCGCAAGTGCAGCAGATCATAATTGAAAGATGACTGCAGTCAAGAAATGGGTTTAGGCACCTTTGTGAAAAAATTCTGAAGATAATAATCATGGTAATTAGAAGACACTGAATACAGTTATTACTGTTATTAGACGTATTCCATTTTGAGCACCCGCCCAAATAGCACCCGCACGAATAGCACATGGCCTGTTCCACTTAGAGCACCTATCAATATAAAAATTCCACGAAAATCACCGGTCCATAATATCAATAGAAGTGGAAAAGGACAGATGCTATTCGTGCAGGTGCTATTAGGGCGGGTGCCCAAAGTGGAATACGTCAGTTATTAATGCAAAATTTATTTACATTGTGATCTAAGGAGTAAGCCAAAATGGTCTCATTGATGATGAGCACGAGATGTTATTCTAAAATTCACAAAAGAGGCTCATTAGCTATTTCTGCTACAAAATATTGTTCAGAAAAGGTTTATGATCCAAGTGAGTTGTTTGATATTTTTGTCGTATGTTTCAGATCTACAGATTCGTCTGAAGTAAATTAAATAGCCTGTAAAAGTTAAATGGCGATGGCTTCATTTGAGTACATTTTAATTATTCATTCGCTGAATATTACTGATACCTACATTTTTGTAGTTATAGCGTGATAAGCTACTGTTGTATTTGGTAATAAATAGTTCTATCGAATAGATAAAATCATATTATTATCGTGTAATGACATTGATAGATTAAATTAATTTAATCCGACACCCAGGGGCCGATTGCGATCTACAATGGGTCCTTACAGCACCAGGTGATGTGAGGTGTTGAATCATGCACTGTTTCAATGAAACCCTTTGAAAACCAAGAAACAGTAAATAGCATAAACAGAATACAGAAACTTTCTAGTAAGAATAAAAAGTTTTGAGACCTCTGAATTAAAAAAAAACGATGGAAAAGAAAGACACAAAAAAGCTTTACACTTCTTTGACATTACTAGTATTTTCAACGTAAGTAAGGCCCCCTAGGCTGAGGCCATACCTGAGGGTATAGGTGGGTACCGCAAACTAGTTCATACTCAGAAAAATCCGTTTTGATTTATTCATGAGTCGACTTTTCACATTCAAAGATTATGACCATAGTTATATTCGTAACTGAAAATTATCTACAAGCAGTAAAAAGTATGACATGCATCATACAAGAAAACATCGAAACGGTGCGTGCGTATTGATTTGCATTTAATTAAAATAAAATATTTTTTTTATTAGACAAAGACGACAATCAATGCTTATTGGAGACACGAAAGTCATAAACATATAGCCACAATATTGTACTATTAATAAATTAAATCAATATTATTAATGCAATTGTTTATTATTAATAAGAAAATATATTGAAAATTTGACATGTAATGAACATTATGAATAAATTTCTTATTCTTATTCTTATTCTAAATTCCTAATTTAATTATTATTACTGACAGGATACTTACCTTAATTTCAGTTACTCGGTGACCATGGCGCTTACAACAGTACTGAAAATATCGGAAACTCAAAATTAAGGTACATGGTAGCAATCCCGTCTGTAATAATAATTATGTTAGTGACCATGAAAGTTAAAAAAAATATGTATATTGTCCTAATTTTCTTCTTTCTTCTGTCTCTTTATTCTGTATCTTTCTTCTTAAATGATGATTGCCCGCCAGGCGTTGGACTCCACGCTGTACCCCTCGCTATTGAAGGCCTGTACCACGAAACGGAACCAGGTGTACTTGTACAGGGGCGCGACCACCGCCATGGTCTGGCCGGGTCCGTACGCGTACACGTCTTGGTACCGGGAGAACATGTTGTTGGAACCGGTTTGTATCCATGACGTCACCTGCGAAGATACATTTTTTTGATGATATTTTATCACAAAAACTTTATTGGTAAGGGAAAGGAAATGATTAGGTTTGTCTCTTGATGACATTCTTTGGAAAGATTGAGTGGTAGATGAGCTTCTTCAGCTAATATGGAGTACTTGTTTAGACAAGAAGTAACCGAAAAGAAAATCTTACAAGTTCGAATGAATGATGTTTTTTTTTTTTGGTTTCAGATAATTTTATTATTCACAGATATTTTGCACAAAACAAATAGCATTATTAAATGTATTTTCTTTTAAAATAAAGAGGGTTGTTGTTTAAATAATATCACTTACACAGAGGGGAATAAACAACTTAAAAAAATAATTTTAAAAAATTATAGCACATACCTTGTACCCAAGAATATTATTGGATCCCTCGCCGGGGCTCCATGTAATGGCGGTGCCCATGAAAGGCTCCAGAAACGTGTTAAGATGTTCCAAAGTCGGAGCTGGTATAGTACTGGCACGGGCACCAGTTTCGCTTGCCTTGGGCTCTTCCTTGATGACGTAGGTCAGAGCTTGGGCCGCAGCCACGAGTAGCAGGAAGGTGAAGCACTTAAGCATCATGGTTCTATGTGTGCTGCCTCAGAACAAATCCAGGTGTGGCTGACTTGCAAGTGGTCGGCGGCCAATAAATACTATTAACGGTTACGATTCATTAACTTTTGATAATTGTTATAAAATGGCAAAACGTGATTAGGATTCAGATATCTATTGTTAAGTTTTTAGCAATCTTTATGTTAGTGATTAATATAAAAAAAATATGTTTGTTTATTTTATCTTTGAAAATAATTCTGTAATAAGTTAAAATAAGTGTGATTTTTACTTACCTTTTTGACAGATTCGAATCTTCCTAGCGAATTTTAGCGTGATGTGACGATATTCGAAGTCAGGGATGATTAAAGCACACAATAATGAAGAAAAAAAGAAAGGTATCTTTACTTATTTTTACATTAGATCTGGTACCTACTTAAATAATAAGAATAGAATTAGTGCCAAAAAGGACACCCACGTAAGACAGCAGTTTATCTTATTTAGTCTTTATTTTATTTAGGTACCCACTTGAAAGAAGCCACAGAAAACCATTAGTCTAGTATTTCGTATCAGCTTTTATACAATTTAAGACTCTTTAATACAATTTAAGTTACACGGATCTGCAGATGATAAAAACCTACGCCTCGTTGCGAGTGATAAATACGCTAATACCAATTTATTGTACCTGAGATAAAACCTCATGCTATGTCCATGTGACGTGCTGTAGTAGGAAAAGGACGACCAGTAGAGTACAATCCCATACATCGTAAACCTCCTTAAAGAAATAGAGACAAGGCAAGACAAGAAATAAAGAAAGAGGGATATTGGACAGGATAAGCTGACAAAACTTAAATAAGATCAAATTATGCCTCTGAGCTGGAAACCAGAGGAAATTTTACGATACTGATGTGAAAACTTTCGATTTTCCCATGTTTTTCATAGTAAATGAACTGCAAACAAGTGACTAAAAACATGAGCACAATAACTTGTTTTCTGTTTAGGTCTACGCCTCTTTTAAATAAATGCAAATAATGGAAGAGCCGTAAGTTTGCTAACTGCAAACTGATAGGAGATATATTTCTCTAAAGAACCGAAGTAAATAGACTGCCCATTTTGTAAGTCAAAACAGAATGTTTTATTACATAGGATGTGCGCTATAAATAAAGCTTCCACGAAGCATTAAATTCTAAACTCTACACAAGGCTGAGACACACTACAGCCTCCCTAGACCAGGTTAAATAAATCAGTAGGTTCATACAAAGTAATTGCAGAAAATTAAATGTATAATTAGAGTTAGTAGGTAAGATTTTGAAGTACCTCAAAACGTTTATGATTTTAATTTTATGACTAAATGAATTAAAAAAGAACTTAGAAATTGTAGGAAATTAAAATGAAAATGTATTGTAAAATGCACAGTTCGTAAAAAAAATACAGTATAAATAAATTCAGAAAATTTACCAGCTAAATACTTAGCAAAAGAAAATTGGAAACCCCTTTACAATTTGACTTTTTCCTGCATGCTTTCCGCCCCAACCACTGCGACAGAGGAAACAATAAAACGCAGGCAAATCGTCCCCGTAGGTAACACCTACTAATAAAAATTCCTTCAAATCAATACGTTCTCTTTTACGCTTTTTGTATTGTATTTTATTTTGTTATTCGCCTCCGCCTCGTGTTAAAGGGACAATTCTGGGATCTAGAGGTTGTAGCATGATTATATTGCTTGATACTTTTTGCAAAATTTAATTATGTAGTAACTGAATTATTAGATACTTAGTTTGTACCAAATTATCAAAGTACTTTTGCTTGTTTTTTGAGTATAATATCATGTGTTAATATATTTTAGACAGCTTAATACATAAAATGTTATATTAGTATCTTACGCTCCATTCCAACACAAGTACCTATCTTTAGTTTACTTTTTGGGACAACCCCAACAACTTTGTTATAAAAAAATTATGCACTGAAATAAATCATATTTTTTATATTGACTTTAAATTATCTATTATACCTTCAAGAGAACCTAATTGTGAACATTATCAACCTTGTGTGGTCCAAAGTTTGGGAAATAAAAATGGATTATCTCCATAGATAAGACAAAAACTTCCATAGCAACATAGACGTATTTCACAACAAATAATCTCGGTATTAGTTGTTTACTACATTTTTGTAAACAGCTAAGCGTTTCAAGGATGTGAGTCATATTCGTTACAAATACACAAAATGTAGGTCACTACCTTAACAATGCATTTGTTAGAGATAACTATTCGTCATGGGTTTTATGTTGCCCTTTTTGAAGGTTTAAAGTAATGGCTAGTCAGCATTTATTTTGAAATTTGCTCTGTGACCATTTTGTATGAGAAACTTACAAATATAGTAGCAGTATAATATGAAGTAGCATTTTAGACGCCAGAATCTTCTTTTGAGTAAAATATCACCACTGATAGACTAGATGTATAAATGGACCAAAAGAATCAATTTTTAAATTAACAAGCAGAGGAGATCAACAGGTAGATAAGTACTCGTAGTTACCTATGTAATTAGACATAAATACGATGCTTAATTGTTTTATTTAGCTATGGCGATGGTTGCAAGTATCAAAACCATCCCATCTCCCTACAAAAGCACCCGTAAACACGTTGGATCCTGTACTATCCTCGTTTGCATACCGTGCGCGCGCGTGTGTGTGCGATTGACAAGCGCTAAATGCTGGGGCGCCCGTTCCAAACGTTAAACACTGTTTATTGGCACGTACACTCGGCAAAAATTCCAATAAAACTCCAAAAGGAATTCGGCACGAAAGAATAACGTTTAATTTGTCCCGAAGGTCCCGTGATTTATACGACCGAATTAAATGGCCGACTTTGTATTCAAATGTTAATGCAAAACGGTTAGCTATTGACCATTTGTACGTAAGTAAATCTTGCTGGTGACATCAATAATGTCGCTTTGGAAGTGGAAAGGAAGCTGGCTTAAATTGTACTCGAATCAACTGAATTGTTTGGATTCCCATATATTTTCCGTAGAAAAATGATTAAGGGAAAAAGTTTTAGTAAAAACTGCATTGCTTATTATTAAGAAATACCATCAACTGAAATATTCCGTAAGCACAAAAAAAACAATAATACTTACTCGTATCCAATGCCAATCAAGGTTAGATATAATCTGTATAAATCCATATTTTTAAGTTAGTTCGCCCTTATGGTCTGAATAAATTAACCTGTGCTTAATATTACTCTATGACACTGAAAACTTCATTCAAACTCACATCACGGATAGAATATGTCCTAATACTATAATATGATAAGGTAAGTACATATCGTCCTACTGGAATTCACCCAATTAAAAGTTTGATTATGAGTTTTCAGTCGTTTCCTATTCCGAACTCGAATAATATTCATAAAAAGGGATACTGAATACCTACATCCTGAAAACAATTCTCTAAATTCAATCGAACTGAAAGTATTTTCATTATCTTTTCACTGTGTCAAACCCGAGAATCATACCCATTCGCCCGAAAGACTAACCAGATTTTGGTACCACACCACACCACCTACCTACATTTCATTATAATTTATTTTCATAAGCCGCTTATAGCGTTACGCTAAGCTTGCTCAGCAAAAACTACACAAAATAGTTTGTCTATTGCGTCACTTGGATTACAAGGATTCAGTATGACAAGGCACGCGTCACCTGGCCTTAGGGATATAGGATAGAACGACAGTGAATGACACTTCTAGTGGACCCACCGATGGAGCAAAAAGGGACTCAGATGAACAGAAAACAATCCATAATCCAACAGGATAGTTGAACATTTGTATTTGACGGCCGTGTGCTCTGGTCGATAGGATTGGAATTAAACGCTACAGTTGTGGATTTGAACCCCGCAGGTAACAAAATAGTATTATTAGTGTCAGATGTGAGAGAATTAATTTGTTGAAGTGTACTCAAATGTATCGTTTAATTTATTATGTTAGTCCGTGATCTAATTGCTTAGATTATGCTTGGTTGGGGCTACGTAGGTATTTAAAGATTAACTTATTGACCCTATTCCCTCTGGTAAATTAAAGAGAATCGTCCTCCAGCAGGGGACTAAATAACCTCATAATGATGGTGATAATGATGATTATTTACCTATTTATTGTTTTCTTATATAATTACTGTTTAGTTTATCAAAAATTAATATAAATAAATCATTAATTGCCGTGAGAAAATGACGATGAATACCTACTGCAATCTAAAACTGGACTTAATATTGCTTTCTATTATAATTACTTTATAGTTTATCAAAAACAAATTACAATATGAAACAAATATTAAATAATTATTATCAGCCGTGAGAAAATGATGACTAGAAAGTGCTGAGAAAAAGAAAACTATGAATAACAAAACAACAATAAGTATTATTAACTTTATCTATGGATTTATCAATAGCAGCCGTAATTAGGTCAAGTTACAAAATTTTAATAAACTTTCTTATCGTCTACCTACAGTGAATGGTACGAGTATTATCCTACAGCTACTTACAAGCTTTTATTTTACTCAAAATCTGAAATAATGGCATAATTTTATTTCCCAAATACTTATTAGAAGTGTTTATAAAATAACGATCTAACCCAACTTCGTACACAATGATAGCAGAGCAATTTAAATTTTTCGCTGACCTCTGAAATAATTATTCAAATTGTATAAAAATCCATAAAAACAATAAGTAGTTTATAGGAGAAACAAGCAAACTGCGACGGACTTTGTTGTTTTAATAATACGTAAGGACTACTAGAACTAGACACGTCACACGTCACTAGGTGAATATGTTTGTCGTTAACTTGGTTAAATTCTATGAATACCTCAATGCTTACGTTATTGTTATCTATTTTGAATTCTACTATACTCTAACAATAGGTACTTTACTTAGCACTTAGACCATTCATGGTGATTTTTTTACATGATTACTAAATTATTGCGAAAATGCATAAAATTCGTTTTTATGCCTAGGTATTGGAGTTCATTGTTGAAGATATTGCAAGCTATTCATATTAATAATCATTAGTCTTAACTAGAAAGATGTATGTATTAGGTATTCGTGTGCTATCTCGAAGTTCAAAGGTAAGATAAGG